CTACTACGTACTCTACTACTATACCAGTATATATATATATATATATACTAGTATACTATATATACTATATATATACTATATATATATATATATATATNTAAAAGCAATGATTTCATGCAATATTTTGTATAGTAATATGATGCAACAACTTTAAAAAACCATCCTACATAAAAGCAATGATTTCATGCAACATTTTGTATAGTAATATGATGCAACAACCTTAAAAAACCATCCTACAATCATTTGTTTGATCAAAATTTTGAAATATACACTCTTTTCATTCTAATGAACAATCACAAAAAAAGAAAAATCTGAAAACACAACTTAGAAAAAAAAAATTAATCCAATTAACATATGCCGTTCATTTTGGTGAGATGCTTAGATCTAAGCATTAGAAGAACTTTTTTTTCATTTCCAATTTTTTTGGATGGTTTATTATCATTAGATGAACAATGTTAAAAAAAAAAAAAAAATTGATTTTGAGTATATAAAGGCTAAGATCTTGAAATTCATAAAATGAATGGTCTAGATTCGTTTTTGGAGGGGACTCATTTTTCCTATATCTAAGGTTCAAATTGATTTATTTTTTTTTTTGAGAATTTATTATTGAGATGAAGAGAGTGTATGACCACAAGTACGGTTTTCTAAAAGTAGGGTTGCATTATACTATGATACAACCGTTGCATAAACTTGTTGATTGTATTATATATGTATATATATATAATACAATCAGCATGATTGGGTCCATAAGAAACTTTAGGCTAGGGACCAGGACCCGACCCCTTTGCCACCCCTGGAATATAACTATTTTCAACAGTGTTAAAGGATGCATCCCACTCAAACTCAAGCAAATAAGAGTGAGGCCGACTTACCTTGAGTTGTATGTACAACTCAGAGTACTTAAAAATTCTAGATTTTTTTTAAAATTATAAAAATATGGGATTATTCTATAATTTATATACTTGGATGTTTTTGTCAAAAATTGGTAAGTTTTTTGGCATAATCCCTATTATATATATAGAGATTTTTAAAATGTCTTTGGAGATAGAATCAATTCTTTCTAAACGCCACTTTTATGTACTTTTTAAAACGTTTTTTGAGTTTATAAAGTTGTTTTTGGTTCTATTTAATGCTAACTTCATTTTATTTTTTCAAAATTTTCCTGATATTTTTTATTCATCCGGGGCCTTTTACCTATACAAGACTCCACTAGGTCTACTCGGACTCGGCCAAGTAACTCACCTTATTCAAGGGGCGATTCTCTTTGCTGAGGCGAGATCCTAATCATTGATTTTCACTAAGAGTTGAACCAATAAAGAGCAGTACTTTAAAAAACCATGGAAATATTAAAATTCAGCCAAATAAAGAGACATAAGAATTAAGAAAATGTCTACAATACCAACCTTAAAGTTAAAAGTTAATTCAAATAACTAAGACAATAGAAACAAGAAACCAAAATATAAAAAAAAAAAAAAAAAAGGAAAAGAAAGCAAAAGAGAGAGAGAAACTTACATGATGTGTTTTTGGGTCCACAAAATGCTATAGCGATGGAAGCCATTGGTGGGATCAAACCAAAGATTGTATCTCTCCTCACGCCCACGGCTTGTGCTCCCATTCCCGTACACATTTGTTTGAATTCTCCAATCTTTTCCTCTAATATTTCCCAGGAATTCAAAGTCCAATTCATCGTGATTTTTCTCAAAAATATCTCCATTTGATGTCTACATATAAAATAGAGAGAGCATAATTAGAGAGAACATAAAGGATATTTAGAGTTAATTTACTTAAAATTTATTAGGAAGATTTATGAAGAAAAATTATTTAATTGTTAAAATTTAAAAATACTCCTGAATGTTTTATATTTTAAGCTCAAATCCGATTTTTGGGAGCGAGTATCGTTTTTTTTTTTTTTGTACATATTGAATTAAGCTCAAATTTGGAGGGGGTTGATTCTTCTTGCCATCTCGTATTTTTTCAAAAAAAATACTAAAAATTATTTTAAAATAAATAAAAGATCAAATACCACTAATCTTTTTTTAACTTAATTATATTTTTTTACAAGCGTGTCATGGTGAGAAGCATGAGTGCCCAAAATTTGAGCTTAATTAATACACTTTTAATATAAAAATACAATATTCCCTATTAAAAAGAGGGATTTAGGTGTAAAATAAAAAATATGTTGGACTATTTTCAAATTTTGGAAATAAAAAGGGATTTTTTTTGCTAATATCCCAAGGCACCTCAATTTTTTTTGCCCAAAAATTATTTTTTTTTCCCGAAAATTGGCCCAAAATATAAATTTTATTTGCCGTATGAACAGCTGAGAATGATAAGCTATCTTCGCATATGGGACGTAAAGCGTGAACCCGTCAAATTCCAAATTTCTAGTTTGATCCTTTTTTTTTTCTTTAAATAAATTCTTTGAAAGATGAAAAGAAAATTCAAAACAGCAATAAAATGGAGGAAAACAAGAAATTCTGGAATTGTGTAAACAAAAACCGGATTGATTACATGATATCGAAGAAAATCTGCAGTCCAAGCCTCCCTTCTTAATGAACTTCATGTGAAAATTCGTTATATCCCAAAAGAAAAGAAAAGAAAAAATGCCACGAAATTACTCTCTCTCAATTGTTTTCATTCCAAAAATTAATTACACTATGAAAGAATTGACGGAAAATCTCTCTCTCTCCAAATTATGAAAAAACTGTCAGAAAATATGTCTCTTTTTTTCTCCGTCTCCCCATAATTGTTCTCATTCCAAAAATTAACCAAACTTTGAAACAATTGAACGGAGAAAAAGCAGACGGCGAGAAAAGGCAACATCGATACAATCCATAAACCAACTTCAAAAAAGAACAGAAGAGAGAGAGAGAGAGAAACAAAAGAAGAAAGGCCATAACAAGGGAAACTCACGTAAAAAGCGACGACCACGCCTGCCGTGTAATCAGAAGGCAACTTTATATCAGCGCTGAAATATCCGTGCATGTACAAATCCTGTGATATGAATCCCGAACCTAATTTCAAAAACAAGAACACCCATCAAATGATCAGAACAAGAAACCCATTTCAAATCCTGCAAAATAAAACAAATGGGTGATCACAAAATCAAGAAATAAACCATAATCAAATGGTAAAAAATCCATGAAAAATGGCAGAAACTGAAAGATTTACCGGTGGATTCATCGAGGAGCAAACGAACACGGCGTCCGTCCTGTGATCTTTGAAGGTTTCCATCTCCAAAGAGAGGCGAGAAGCCATCGTCGAATGCGAGAGTGGTGAAATTAACAGGGGCCGTGAAGGCCAAGGCAGAGGAGAGAGAGAAGAGGAAGAATAAGGAGCGCGTGAAAGTAGAGAGAGATTTCAACCCCATTCTCTCTCTATCTCTGTCTCTGTCTCTCTTCTCTCGCTTCTTTCCTCCTTATATTTCTCTCTCTAAATTCCTTCCTCTCCTCTTTCTCTCTCTCTCTCTTTCTAAAACTTCGTTTCTCTTCTCTTTGCGACGAAGAGAACGGGCTCAAATAGGACCGAAGACGGGGTGATGTCGACCGTAACAGATAATACCCATGATATGAATGCCCCTATTCCTAATCAAATTTTCTTTTCTGACCCCCTATCATTTATTATACACCGGGAATCTCTAACCCAGTTTCTTATTTGAAGCTGACGAAAATACCTGAAGCCTTCACCTAAATTACAAATAAGCCCCTTCATCGTACTCGTCGATTTTTGTTCTCCCTTTTTAGTTTTTCTGCCCCTGTCCTTTGTGTTTATGAATAACTACACTTTATCCATTTTATCTATTTGTGAATTGTTAACCCGGGTGACAAATTAACTTAGAGAAAGAGAGAGGCATGAGCACTCAAATTATCATATCGAAATGTATATTTTTTTTTGGGCCAAATTAAAGCCGATCATGCCAATCCCAAGCCTAAAAAAACGAGGAGGATTGTATTAGGTAAAGCAGCAAATTACCATATTTTATCATAAATGATAAATATATGTGATTGAGGGTACGACTTTTAAAACCATAATGATAGAATAAGATTGGTATAGCAGACTCTATATAATTTAGATAAAGCTCCTCTATAAATAGAATGTAATTTTACCTGATCGTTGAGGTTTTGATTATAGAGGGAGAAAATATTGTTTTTTTTTTTATGAAAAAATAGAAGTTCGCAATGGTTGGCGAGAGAAAAAGGGGCATTTTAGTCAAATTTTTTGAGGATTTAGTAACAGTTTCATGATTCATCTCGAGTGTTACAGCTGGGCTTCCACCCATCTCTCTCTCATTACCTATTACCGTAACGTCTCTCTCACCGTAACGGAATAGAGAGGGAGGTTCAGGGAAAGTGTGTTTGGGTCAGGCGTGATGCGCGCCCGTTACTGACGGCGTCATCGGAGCGACACGCTGGCGTGCTTTGCTCGTGAATCCTCCCACCCGCTCCTTCCCGATTAACGGCCAGATTTTCAAAAGCTCCCATAATTACAAAAGCTCCCACAATTATCCTCACGCCTTTTTTTTTGAAATATAATTATAACAAAAATAAATCCATCAACCAATTTTAAATGGAAAAACTTTAAGGGAAAAGTTTATATAGAGTTGGGGCTCTAAACAATCAAATTAGAGTCTCCCTCAAAGAAGAGGTCGTTTTGATGCCCAAATATCCTCAAATTGATCATCTCGACATCAAGATGTATGGACATGAAAAAAACATGGATTTCAAGTTTTGAAAACAGTTCATCTTATAACACATTTTTAGACCGTCAATTTTTAAGGTTTTCAAGTTTTCATAGATTTGTTCGATCTACACTATTTTGAAGCTTTAATTTTCATAATTAGTGATGAAAATATATTTTAAGGCTATCAAAAAGAATTTCAATATTGAAACCACAATTCTCGATACTATTTAAAAGTGGGCTCTACTTTGATTGTTTAGAGCATCGGCTCCATACAAACCACACCCAAAGTTTAAATAAGGGTGAGGCCCTAAACAATCAAATTCAGGCACACCTCAAAATTTCTAACTAGAAAGGTTGTTTTGATGCCCGATAATTCTCAAACTTTTTTTCAATTATTTGAGGCTGGCTACATGAATTACGTTCCTCCAATATTCTCTATTAAAAGCGGGGTGCAAGCAAACTGTGTAGCCCAAATGATAGAATTGAATGGCCATTTAAATTCAAGTAATATATAAATAATAATAACAATGATTTTGTTCCTTAAAGGGCCCTCAAATTTTCGGCTCAAGAGTTTAAATTATTATATAGATAAAAGGATAAAATTAAAATATTTATAACCTCAATATCCAAAAGATTTTATCCTCTCATGGGAGCACACTGTCTATTCAATCTTTCAAGTAAAACTCAATAATTATTTGTAGGAGCCCAAAATATTAGTTCTTCAACTTAGCTGCCAACCCCAAGAAAGAAATGTCCGGCTTCACTCTTTGCGTGCATGAAAAAGTTATGTCCAAAGATTGAATGGAGATGATAGTTGGGTGCGGTTTCTAAAAGGCTGCAACCTTAAACAATCCAATTAAGGTTGACTTCCAAATTTTATCATAACAACTAATTTTGTTGTAAAAATATCTTAGGATTATCTTAAAATCTATTTTCATATCTAATTAGAAAATTTTAAACTCCAAAAATAGTTAAAATCAAGGAGATCTATAAACATATAAAAATCTTGAATTTGGACGGTCTAGATAATGTGTTGCAAGATGCACTATTTATTAGACTCAAAAACTTTGTTTTTTATATTCATACATCTCGATGTCAAGATGATCAAATAGAGTGTTTTCCAACATTAAAACAACCTTTCTGATAGATTTTTAAAGTGCATCTGTAATTCTACATTTTAAGGTAGCAACTTTATATAAACTTTCCCTTATTTAATTCCTTTTTCTATATATAATAATCATTCGGCAATTCTTAGGTAGATCTAAGGGTGGCAATGGGTTGGGTCCGGCTGGACCCAGACCCAGACGCGGATGTATTCGGGGTCCAGGTTTTGGACCCGGACCCTACCCATTGGATCCATACCCGTATCTATCGGGTCCCAGGTCTATCTTATCGGGTCTCACGTCTAGTCGGGTCCATTGTCACCCTCATTATGAGCTTCTTTTTTTGTAACCTACAATGGTGAACAACAGAAAACTAATTTTTCAAGGGTGGGCAATTAGAGAGAGAGATATTTGAGATCCAGAGAGAGCTACGTCTCCAAGAAACTGAGAGAAGGAGAATTGTAGAGACAAAGGATGGCGATGGGGTTTGGCCGTTTGGGGAACCGAAAGAAGACAAAAAGCATTGAAACGATTTTAGGGTTGGGGATTTGGCATTTGGGTAAACTAAAATTTCGGGTCCAGGTACTCGTCGGGTCGGGTATTAACATGACCCATAACCGGACCAGGGAATATTTGGGTATCCTTTATTGGACCCGGACCCTACCCATGGGTCCAAAACTTGGACCCATACCTGGACCCCTGTCGAGTATGGGTTGGGTCTAGGTCCATTGCCACCCCTAGGTAGATCACAATATTTCATATCAAAAAATCCTTCCACATAACTTTGTAGTACATGCACAATATGCTCAAAACAAAGCATAATAAATGCACTAATCTCAATAATTCAATGACTATATTGCCTCTATGGTGTAGGGTTCTTGTGAACCCCTTACTTGCGGAACCGGGAATCTCAAAGACCGGGATTTCATCCAAGATCATGTACTCAATTGGTCAAATGCGAAGTAGATGAATACAACTTATAAATTGAGTGCGAGAAATAAAACAAACACAAACGCAAAAACAGGCACACCACAACAACACAAGATTTACATGGTTCACCTCATAGACCTACATCCATAGCCTCAACAACTAGAAATCCACTATCACAATGAAGATTACAGTTTTGGGTTACAAGAGATAATACATATCTCTAAACATCGGTAAAAGACCATCACCGATCTTCCCTTCTAAACCCGCTCTCCCGACCGAGCAACGCTGTTGATCGACATCCCATTTTCCACCACAATACCGCTACTGAAAAAATAACCTCGAGAGCAACATAGAGATTTTTTCTCTCTAGAAGTAGAAGTTAACCAACTCAAAACTCATGGGAATACCGCTCATCTCTCAGATGCTATGTCTCTCTTTCTTGAAGACCCATCTCCATATTGGAGATCCATTCCTATAACCCCCAAAGGAATGATCATAAAAAGATGAGTATTATGTCATCATTCACTCTCTTATAAAGATATTACTTTCTTGTTTCCCAAAAAAATCTATTTTCTATTTTCCATAATACCCTTAATCTTTAAAAAAACTTATAAATGTAGTGATTTGGTTATCACAAAACCCAATATATAGAACTTTGGAAAAACATCTATTGCAAGACCAAAATACACTTGTGCCATAGAAGTGACACTACTTGTGGTGATTGGGTCAAGCATAACTAGTGTGGGAAATGAGAAAATCATCAAAATACTAATAAGAGATAAAATATTTAACGTTTTTACCCATTTGCAGCCATTTAAACTCAAGATCATGTGTTTTATGTGGGTATTTTGAAATTAAATCAAAAGACATAATTAAGGTGTTAAAGTGTTCATCTCTCATGTGTAATTTGATCAATTTATGCCAAAACTGTAGTTAAAGTACTGCAAAGCCTTTTGCAATGATATGAAAATCTATTGTTACCTCTAATTATGAAATTTAAAATTTTAGAAATGGTGATGATCATGCAAATCTATGCGTACTTAAAAATCTAAAAAATGGACGGTCCAGATAATGTATTAGAAGATGAATTATTTTTAGAACTATAATTCTTTTTTTTATATCTATGAATTTTAAGATCGAGATGATTGATTTGAGGGTTTTCCATCATAAAACAACCTTTCTCTAGTGGATTTTTTAAGTGCACGTTACTCCCATAATATAAGGTTGACACCTTATAAACTTTTTTCTTTTATTAAACTCAACGAAGTCTTTGACAAACACTACATAGAGCTCAGGAACCTAGCGAGTCCGATGTCCGACTCGAGTCATTTGCTTGAAATTCATCCTTGTATTATCGTGTTCAATTAATTCGAGGCCATTCTCGTAGGAGTGGCAGTGGACCCTAACTCGACAAAAAAGGGTGCGACCCAGATTCTGGCATGGGTCAAAAAATTGGACCCGGCAGGTTATTGGGTCTAGGTGAACTCGACCCCAATAAGGTTATCATTTAAATAATATTGAATATATCATATTTAATTAAGATTTACATAAATATAATTATATATTTTTAACTATAATATTTAAATAACTTAGGTATATATTTACCATAATATTTAAATATATATTTTTAATTTTTAGGTAGGGTATAGGTCTAGGTCCAAGACTGGATCTGATAGCTTTGGATCCGTTCGGGTCTAGGTCCCACAAATTTTTTCCTATCCGAGAGTGGCGGGACCCAGATCCAACCCGACCCGTTACAACCGCTATGTTCTCA